TCCACGTCCTCTCCCACGACGGCAACCTCACCGACGCAGCCTGTCTCGCCGTCGTCGCCGCCCTGCGCCACTTCCGCAAGCCCGACACCTCCAACGAGGGCGAGAGCCTCACCATCTTCACGCCCGCCGAGCGCGAACCAGTGCCCCTGAGCTGGCTGCACAGCCCCTTTTGCGTGACGTTCAGCTTCTACGGCGACGAGGGGGAAATTACGCTCGTCGACGCAAACTGGCTCGAGGAGCAGCTGCGGACGAGCAGCGTGACGGTCAGCCTGAACAAGCACGGCGAGATTAGCCAGATTTCCAAGCTGGGAGGCACCCCAGTCGAGGCGGTGACGCTGCTGCACTGCGGTAACGTGGCGCTGCAAAAGGCAAAGGAGTTCTCGACGATAGTGGACGAGAGGTTGGCGGACGATGCGAAGCGGAGGGACAAGGGTGGTCTCATATCAGAGCTACTCTCGGCGGAGAATGACAGAGTGGTGGACGCATAGAACACGGCCAGTCAAGCAGAGGAAGATTAACCAAAAAAATGTAAAATGATACCCAGCCAAATACGCTCTCAAAAACCCATGCTCTGCAACAAGGAGCGAAGTGACCAATGTGGCTTCACCCGTTCGTCCCTTGACTTTGAGCCCCCAACTCCATCTACGCCCAGTCTATAAAGAAGTTACCCGTGTACTATCATGCCTCGTAAATGACGACAAGCCAGCGACGACGTCTACCGCATCACCGGCGGCCTCGACTCCTTATTCCACTTCACCCTTGACCGCACCCACTCCACCGCCTCCTTGACGCCCGTCCCCGTCAGCGCACTAACAGGCAACACCCTCGAGTCGCGGATACTGCTCGCCTTCTCGCCCTCAAAGACCTTCTTCACAAGCCCCTCCTTGATCCTCACGACCTCGACGCAATCCTCGCGGTCCTGCTTGTTGGCCAGCACCAGGACGGGCACGCCCTCGGTCTCGGAGTGCTGCAGCACGTCCTCGAGCACGAGGCGGCACTCGTCGAGCCGCCCGGAACCGTTATCGTGCTCGAGGTTGCCGTCGCCAATGTCGGTCGAGTCGATGATGAAGACGATGGCGTGCGCCGAGGCGTAGTAGCTCTGCCACAGGCGGCGCAGCGAGTGCTGCCCGCCGACGTCCCAGATCTTGAGGTACATGTCCGGTAGGGATATCGTCGAGACGTTTTGGCCCACCGTCGGCACCGTCTTGAGTTTCGGGTCCGGGTGCGACTCGAGGAAGAAGTGCTTGACTTGCTCGTGGAAGGTTGTCTTGCCGGCATTGTCGAGGCCGAGGAGGATGACGGAGTACTCTGTAGAAGGGGGAAGAGATTAGCTATGGAGGCCGGCCGTGGACAATGGGTTGCGGTTCATTGTGCGCGAACCTTCTTTGCTAGTAGCTAGGAGGTATAACCCCTTGGCTAGGTGATACATGGCAGGCAAATGACCGACTGGCGAGCGGCACCTGGTTTGCGACGATTTGGACAAGCGAGGTTTTGGGAGTTCGTTTGGAGCTCGGGACAGGTGGAGGGTTTCGATGGCGGCGCAATTGGCGGGATGTGGATGGAGGAAGTGGATGGAGCTTGTCCACGCGAGCTGTAGCTCAAACTTGCGTTGGAGCTTGTGCTGGCCTGTACTCCAGCCTGTGGGCGCTGACACGCTGTCCGCTGCGTGTGTGGTGGGGGGTCATACAGGGGTTTCAGGGACCTCGAGCTAGTGGCTCCTCAGCCCTACGGCACCGGGCAGGCCCGGCTCCCTTTCTACTGCCTCCTCCACTGTTACCAAGTTCAGTATGGTTGAGGACCTTGATGTCTTACGACGCTTGCTTAAGGCAGATACTCAGATACCTCTCATTCTCCAAGTCTTGAAAGTAAGGAATTTCTGATGACAGCAACCCTCCTCTCGACACTCTTCAGCATTTACCTATCTTAAGGTCTATCGCATATCTGTTGAACTCACTTACTCACTCACTCGACCCCAGAGTGCTGCTGACGCTCAGCTCATAATCAACTCTCTCGACTTGGAAATCCCAGAAGGCCAGAAGTGACGCAAACATGGGGACAAGTCTATTCATTCATGTCTATCATGAAATCTAAACACATTCGCGAACCCAACACCCGGGAGCAGCTCCATCATCACTTACCTCACATCTTTGGCGCGGCAGTCGCATAACCCTCAACAACAGCAGTCATCAACCGGTTAGCAATAGCCGCCGGAGGAGGCAATCTCAGCCCGCCCTCCTTGTACCCCTCCGGCGCAGGCTCACCGAGCCCGCTAACCCCAAACTTGAGCGCGTCCCGCACCGTCTCGAGCGGGAACCACTGCGCGTCCTCCAGCTCGGGGTCGTTGCCGAGATCGATCGTCTCCCCGTCGGGCAGCGCCTGCGCGATGGCCCCAATCATCAAGCTCGCCGGGTACGGCCACGGCTGGCTCGAATGAATCACCACCCGGCCCACGCGCACGCCGGCCTCCTCGAGTACCTCGCGTCGGACAGACTCCTCAATGGACTCGCCCGGCTCGATGAAGCCGGCCAGCGTGCTGTACCAGTTGGGCGGATAGCGCTTGTTTCGGCCCAGGAGCACCTTGGTGCCGTCCGAGGACACGACGGCGGCGATCATGGTCGGGTCCGTACGCGGGAAGCTGATGTTGGAGACGCCCTTGCGCGTGGCGCACTCGGCCCGCTCGCGGGGCGTGTCGGAGCCGGCGAGGTCGGTTGTGGGACACAGGCGCTTGTAGCCCGTGTTGCCCGACAGGGACGGCTGTCCGCACCCGGCGCAGAACTTGTTGCGTGTGTTCCAGTCTGCGATGGAACGGGCCTGGGCGTAGATGCCAGCTGACAATTATTCATTAGCTACTGATGTATGAACAGATTCTTATAGGAGAGTAAGACTCCTTACCATGATCCGGCTCAAGCGTCATCGGCCTCATTCCCTCGAGGAACTTATACCCCTTGCTCGACTGAGCCTCGATAAGCTGGTTGGCGGCATCGGCGTAGGAGCCCTTGGGCGTCACATCCACAGCGAACCACGGTCGTCCCTTGAGCCCCTTGTACTCAAACGGCACCTTTGCGCTCTCCTCGAGACCCAGGAAAATGATGAGCGGCTTCGTGACCGTCGAGTCAAAGTTCTTGATCAGATCCTCCTCGGACGGCCCGAACGGGTCCTCGGTGGTGAGGGGCTTGACGTCATCGTACGAGACAAACTGCACTCTCGTCGGGGCGCTGGTGAGGGGGCTGAGGTCCTTGAGGAGCATGAATTTGGTGTCCTTTGACTGGAAGGCGGACCGGATAAAGGTGTGGTCGGTACGCAGCCAGCCGACGCGGTTGAGGACGCTGCCGGCGAAGTAGTTGACGGTCTCCCGCCCGAACTTGCGGGACAGCATAGAGTCCGGGTCGTCGACTGGTGCGGGGAGGTTCCAAGTTTGAGAACCCATGCCGAGGTTTCCTGAGGTTCTGGCTCAAGCGGGCGGTGAAGCTATCGCGGGGTCCTTGGGTGTTACGTGGGGGTTTCGGGGTGATGGGCACCGATGTAGGATGTGTATGACGTATACTGCGTACCAAAACCAAATAAGGCAGTGAGTGCAAGTTTCTACAACAGGTTGGTGAAAAAGTATTTGAGGCTTCTAAAAGTGTGAGATATCTGAAAGACGTGCGGCAGTGACGGCGGCGGCAACGGACTGGCCCGGCTGATTAATCAGATTGACGAGGGACGGCAAAGAAAGATGGGGGACACCAGAGACGCAATGCGATGGATCTTTGGAGCTTGTCGCGGTGAATCACGACTCGCCGCTGAGCTCCGATAAATGGAGCCCCCCTCCGGCAGATCCCTCCTCCCCCACACTAGGTGCGATTGAGAGATCGACTGGTCACCGAAAGGTCAGTGTCAGTGTCCGGACTTGTCACGGTATTCAGAGCTACTGGACAGCCCGTGCGTGGCAGCTGTCTGCTAGGCCTTTGCATTGGAATACGTCCATCATCATTGGGTATGGGGTGGAAGGGGAGCTTCTGACGGGGGCTCGTTGGACAGCTGTCAATGTGACATCTTGGGATGGGAGAGTGAGATGAGGATGCACTTAAGCTTATCCAATCGCCTTAGCCCCCGAAGTCGCCCATGCGGCGGTTTAGATCTTGCCGAGGTGCAAGGAATATGTTTAGTCATCATCGACTTCCTTTCACCATGACATGAGAGGGAGAGCCGTACAGCCATACTTCTAGAAACCTTGCACATGACAAGTCTTCGAATCTTCGAGGACAAGACTAGGGATTTGATCCACTCTGCTCAACACAATCAAAGTCGGCTGGAAGAAATAGTATTTTTTTGCTGATAGTCTTCAATCAACATGAACACGAAGAGATGGGATCCTAGTGTGGCAATATCGTGACCTTGCCTTCTGCATTGAAGTTGCTTTCTTTGCTCACCATTGACTCAAGGTATAGCAAAGGCATCCTCCACGCACATTTTATCAGTCGTTTCTTCCTCTTCAAAAGCCAGGAGATAGCGCCACTTAGTGTCTACAGTTTCATTGATCTTTCTCAGCCTCCTCTCAACAGTACCCTTCGACGAATAGAATAGAATATCCGGACCGCCCATCAGCGACATTGCCAATATCAACTCCATCCCCCCCTCCAAGCCTTCTGATGATTCTTGATTTAAACTCCATCAAATGACACTGGCATTGTCAGCCGAGGTGCCGGCAGAACACATCACAACACTCGGACCCACGAAAGACTTGCCATCCTAGCGTCGTCGACACCACTACAAGACGCCCGGTACTTCATTCAATGCCAATATGCCGTCTTTGAGGGCGTTTCTACCCACTTGGAACCGCCACCGTGGATCGCCATCTGATTCGATCTATCTCTTCGGTCACCCTCTATCAAGCAAGGTAATATCACCAAGTCTCTGTGGCTTCTGATAAGGAAACTGGTGAAAGAAGAGACGAGACACGTATCCAAGATGCTCGATCTCGAGCTACAGATGAAGGAAACAGACGGGACAATGTCATCCTAAACCTTTGCCCAAAACGACCCTCCCACCCTCTTCCTCTTCGCCTCCCTCGCCAAGAAAATGAACACCATCCCCAACATCAAACTACTCCCCGAAAACATCTGCGCACCCAAATACCTACCCCCCAAAGCAGACACCAACGCGCCCGCAATCGGAGGTCCCGTCAACACGCTCACGCTCACAATCGTAAACACCATGCCGATGCGCGCCCCTTGCTTCCTCGGATCGGCCGTCAGCGACGCCAGCGTGGAGGGGAAGAGCGCCTGGATGCCGCCCAGTGCGATACCGCTCAACGCAGCCCAGACGTAGAGACCCACCCGCGAGGAGGAGGAGGCGATGGGCAGCGCCGCCCAGCAGTACGCCAGCACTGCGGCGGCACCGGCGGTGGGGACAAACATTGTCAGGTTGCCGACGCGGTCTGCGAGGCTGTTGAGGACGAGGCGGCCGAGGATGCCGACGCCGTTTGTGATTATGAGGAGGTCGAGGGATGTGTCGTAGGAGGCGCCTTGGATGTCGCGGGCGTAGGCTGCGAGGAAGAAGAAGACGATGTAGGACGCCCAGAAGCACTGTTCAGTTCCAACAGAGGTTAACATTCGTTTGAACTCAGGGGTTGGGTACTTTGGTGGCTGGACTAGGAAGAGACGAAGGATTCTTTAGGAAACCAACGTACCAAGGATGCCCCCACGGCATAGAACGTATACTCCAACTCCCTGAACGCCGCCCACTCCACCAAGCTCCCCGTCTTGCGAGGCGGCACCCTCGGCTTCAGACAAGACAAGGCGGTGAACAGCGCAGCGGCCTGGATGAACCCGAGCGTCCTCATCGTCCAGCCGAACCCGGCACGCGGCAACATCTCCCGAATGACAATGGGAAACACCACGCCGCCCGCTCCGCTCCCGCAGGCCGTGATCCCGATGGCGAAGGCGCGCCGCTCGGCAAAGTACGTCGAGACGAGGGCGACCGTGGGACAGAAGAGGCACCCGTTGCCCAGGCCGACGCAGACCCCCTGCGCCAGCAGGAGCTGCCAGTACCGCGTGCAGGCCGAGGCCGCCAGGGTGCCCGCGACGACGAGGACGGAGCCGGCTGTCGCGACGGAGCGGAAGTAGCCCGCGTCCGTGAGGCGGCCGGTGAAGGTGCCTATGAAGAAGAGGAGGAAGATCTCGACGGAGCCGATCCAGGATATGTCCGAGGGGCTGCGGTCGAGGGTTTGGATGTAGTAGCTCTGGAAGGCGCCAAAGGAGTTGATCATGCCCCTGACATTGTTCTTTTTTAGTTATTCGGTTGAGAAAGGTTTCGGTTTCTAGGATCATACCATGTATTCATCACGACGAGAAAGGTGCCAAAGACTGTTCAAGATGGGAAAGTTGAGCAAATGGAGCATTCTCAGTACAGAAACCTCTGGTCTTGATACAACTTACCACACAACCAAGCTCTTAATCCGCCATCGGGTGGCGGTCCAGGGGTTATGGTCGATCGCGAGGTGACTCTACTCGCAATACGACTTATGACACGATCAACTACATCAGTTGACTGGTTGGGCAAGCTGTTGTCCTCGCTCTGATGATACGTTTTATACGTGGTAGAATCCCTATGGCTGTCGGGCTCGGTCGATTCCAATTGTAGCCTACTCTTGACGCCGTGATCCTCGGGGCCACCCGCTTCGAAGTTCTTCTCGTTGCTATCAGACCCGGCGGGGCTACTGGTTGTCGTGTTGAACATTGTTCTTCGTTGAAAGCTGTCGTTCTCTGAGCCCTGGAGTTCAGAGTGCGTGTACTCGAGGCAAACGAATAATAATCACTTCTGAGAGTTTCGTCAGAAAACTCGACGGGGGATGTGGAAAACCCTCTCAGAGGAGTACACTGAGCTTCTCTTCCCAAGAACCGAGGATAATTCACCGGCAACTAACACCCGCTCCTGTGGCCCAAATTGGTCAGCAGAAACCCACGCCAACTGCGGGATTTCTTTCCCCTTTGAGCAATCTGCCTTGCATTTCGATGACAAATTTGGGTCACAGATAGCGCGATCGCTACGACATGTACTCGAGTTCTAAGAGCACCCCTCTTCCCAGAGTCTCAACACTGTGTCAATCGAGTTGGCCTGGCTGTAGACGAAAATCAGTCAGGTAACAGGATCTATCTTAGTTTCTTCACCACTTGTTCGATCTTTGATTGTGTCTGCTTGCCAAGAGGTATTGGTGCTTGGGAGGTAGCAGCGCCAGCGTTATTAGTCAGCACGATCGTTCATTGCACAATCTCACCACTTTATTGCCAAGTGCCCAGCCACATTCATCTTCCCTTACGTATCTCTCTATCCTGACAGGCGCTCTCAAATACCCAGCAGTGGCTATACCCATTTGGTCTCTCACCAAGAAGATCCTATACCACTCTCTCCCACAGCGTATCCGGATATACATAAAAAGCGAAGTCATGGACAACGACGAAAGCAGGGAGCCGCCGAGGAAACGTCTACGTTCAGCACAGCCAACTCGTCGCGGGAGGTCTCGTGGTGCGCGTGATGGCTCCGTGAACCCCAATACTGCCAGAAAAGAGTCGGGTGAACTCGATCATCTACCAACAGAAGAACAAGCACTGGAGTCCGAAAGCTCAGTTGACCCACGAGCGCTTCCTATCCCCGCTGCTCTGGAACGATACAAAGCTTGGAAAGGTAAGAAAGTTGAAATACATCCGAAGCTTGATAGTCTACCTACTAACAACGATATCGGGTAAAAAGAAGCCGGGGCACAGCACGATGAATTCTGCTTCATTTGCCGGCAGACCAAGGGTCTCACCTACTGCATCACTTGCAAGAGGTCGTATCACGAGTCCTGCAGGCCCGAAGAGAGCACTTACTCTGTCATTGAGGGCAATAGTTGCTTCTTCTGCGAAGTGTGCGTGCACCGGAACTGGCACAAAGATCCCCCGTTTCTAATGCCGGAGATGCGGCCTTTGGCTGCTTCTTCATTATCATCGGCCCCTGTGGAGGCAGCTGAGGCAGCGGGAGCTACACCCTCAACTAATGACACGGGTCGGCAAGATCTATCAAATTCGCACCAAGTTCGCCAGAATCAAGAGACAAATAGGACAACCGAGGCGTCGAAAGACACGCCCAGTACGTCCGCCAGGAGGACTCGTACCGCCAAAGCATCCCCTTCCGCTGCGAGAGAGGAAACAGCCGCAGCCGCTTCATCAAGCACCACTCGCACCGGAATCACCCCCCTACCTCCGCCGACAACTTCAACAGCAGCAACCTCACGGGATGACCCGCCCCGTACCAGCACATTCACAGCACGGGCACCAGCCGCGCGCAAATCCCGCTACACGACCCTCCCAACAGACGTCGACGCCGCGCTTCGGCTCCTATACGCCGAGCTCGAGACAGCCCACGAGCTCCGGCACAAGGTCGGCGACGTCGAGGGCCAGGTCGCGCAGATGCAGCGGGAGCTACGCCTGCGCAACAGCGAGCTCGCGGTGGCCAGGCGGGCGGCGGACGTGGGCCGCGTCTCGGCGTCGGAGATGGAGCAGCTTAGGGCGCAGGCTGCGCTGGGGGAGAAGGCTGTTGAAGAGGCGGCTGGGTTGAGGGCGGAAAATGGGAGCTTGCGCGCCGAGCTGGAGACGAGTCGGGAGAGGCTTGTTGAGAGCGAGCGGGCGCTGGAGGAGTGGAAGCGGAAGCTTTCGGCGTTGATGTCGTAGTAGGTAGGGCGGGAGGCGTGGGGGTTTCGTGTGATGCTTTCATGTGGTTGGTGTGCCTTATCGAAATTTGTAATCAAAACCTGTGTACAGATATTCAGGGGGAGGGTTTTTAAAGACCAAGGAGAGGTACGGGTATGGATGTGGGAGTGCCTCATAACTCATGATTAAGCAGACCAATTCCACCATGTTAGTCTGCTCCTGATCCTGGGTTGTGGATGGGGGACTTTGGGGACTGGTCTTGACCGTTCGTGTCGAGCGCGCCGTAGATTCCTGCATGACGAAGTCAAAACCTGGCGAGGCAAACGAGATTCGTATTACCGGGCTCTTTGAGAAGTACTTGTCTCGCACACTGTGTCGAGGGGTTTCCGGCCGAAGGCGCGGACGCCGAAACCGTCCCTGATAACAAGAACCACTTTGCTGACCAATTTCACCAAACGTGGGGAGGTGCGGGCTGTTTCTACGTCAACACCATTTGTTTCCTCATACACCCCAAAAATCATGGGGGTGAAGTTGCACTTGCATCATAAAGTCGTATTCAATTCAATTCGACCGAGAGTCCGTTCCCGGTCCAGGTTAAGATTTAGGAGTCGTCTATTGTGACCGAGCCCGCTGTGGTCTTGCGAGATTGGTCATCCCACTTTGCTGCCCCGCGGCAAGCGTGATTGTGACGACCTCTGTGTGAGACGATTCTTGGGCATGATCTGTACACGTATACGTGTTGCCGTGGTCAGAGTGAGGGGTGGAGGGATAAGAAAATCCGATTCACATAGGGTGAAGCAGGTGTACTGCATATGTTAACCGGGTCCTGCTCGGGACGTTCATCTAATCGGCGGGAGTTTTGTTGGCTGTGGTGTGTCACTGTGCCAGAGCCCATACGCCCACTCCAAGTCTGAAATTTGTCATCCGTCGTTCGACGCAGCGGGATGGTTATCGCCACCCTCTTGCTTCCTCATCTCATATAAAGAGTCTCATTAGGTCTGGTCTGATGCTTGGAGTTGGAGCATGCCCTTGAATTCCACAGCAGTCCAAATCCAGGTTTCCAAAATTCTCAAACTTATGTATCCATACCAAACAACATCATCACCATGGCCACCCCCTCCACAGCAATCGTCCTCGTGGACCCCTACAACGAATTCCTCCACCACGAGGGCAAAATCTACCCGTCCGTAAAAGAATCCCTCGAGGCGACGGGCACAAACGATAACCTGCGCACCCTCGTCGCCGCGGCGCGCAAGCAAAAGATGCCCATTTTTTACGCCCTGCACAAGACGTGGAAGGAGGGACACTATGCCGGGTGGACGCACCTCACGCCCTCGCACAAGGGTCTGGCGGCCGCCAAGGGCATTACGGAGGGCAGCTGGGGCGCGGAGATCTTGGAGGGGCTTGAGCCGGATGTGGTGGGGAACGGGGACGTTGTTGCGAGCCGGCATTGGAATAATAGGTGAGGCTGTTGCGAGGGGTATTGAGGGCCTTGGTCCAAGGCATCGAATATTGATGTGTTACAGCGGGTTTGCCAATACCGATTTGAACTATCAGTTGCGACAGAGGGGTGTTACGCACCTCGTTATGGCAGGCATGATTGCCAATACCTGTCTTGAATCCACGGCGCGGGACGCGAGAGAGCTGTAAGTGGACATTGGGCGGAAGAAACAACTATTTGAGGAGAGGGTATGAACTGACAATGCGTGCTTCGATGGATGCGCAGTGGCTTCCATGTTACCCTTTTGTGAGTGCCCCAGCGTTGCAGTGTGTGTAAGTAGTCTTCTTTTGCTGACAAAAGGTACACAGATCCGATGCGACTGCTGGCTTCAGCACTGAGGCGAAGGATGCCGCGACGAACCTCATCTGGCCGTTGATTGTGGAGAATGTCACGACGGTTAGAGACTGGGTTCTTGAGAGTGAGTCCAAGGCCTGAGGTAGTCGCATAGACTGATACATGGGTTGGATGTGATACAATATGCAGTGATGCGCTAGCAAAACGACTGTAATAAGACATCATTCAAATAGGTGTCCAGTGTTCGTGCAAGTTTGGAGGTGGGAAAGGTGCAGACAGCGACAGCCAAATTGGTCAGCAACAAGATGGTGAAGGTTCGTACCTCTGATTAGGTAAGGTGATACCTGTCTTTGACCTTCCGTCCAGTGGAGACGAGTCCAAATCCGAGCTTGCGCCGGGGTTGAAACTAATCCTCCGAACCAAATTACGATCTTTCGATATAGGTACTTCAGGTAAGCTTCCACCGTGAGGAAATCTGGTTGAGATTCGGCAACGAGGAGGTAACGCAAGACGCCTCAGCTGACGGCACTCCCTTAACATCAGATACACGTAGTGTAAAGTGTGAAGAAGGCCTACCTGAAAGTTAGGCGAAGCTGACATGCACACCCGGACAGCTTGAGCAAAACCCAAGGGCGGCCAGCTAGGTAAGGTACCTGGCGCTGAAAAAAAGTGGGCGTTTCAGCGCATGGTTAGCGCTCGATTCCCCCGCATTTTGGATTCCCTCTTCCGGCTTGGTCAGTGACGTCGTGGCCAGTCGCTAAAATCCCAGCTGAGAGAAAACTTGCCAGCGCACGTGGACTCGGATGGCGCGAGCGGCGACCGAAGAAGAGAAAAAAAAGGGCCCTGCAAATTAGGTGGTGGTGACTTTCGCGAATGCAGATGTCTCTCATTCCAGGTGGCATGCATACGGAAAAAAAAAGTCTTTCCTACTTTCATCGTCAGATTTCGGGAGGGACAGACTAGAAAAACTTCTTCCTCCATCTTTTTTCATTGCCCCAAACCCCATCGTTGCTGGTGCGTCTTGTATGAGCGCTCACCTGGCATTTTGTTTGTAGAATTCATCTCCATCTAGTCGTTTAATCTTTCTTTGTTCTAGAATATCTCTCTTCAACTCTTATAGCTTGCATCCACCGATACCTACCCTTCTCTCCCCTTTCATTGATCCTCTCTGGTCGTCGCATTGCCCACCCCCCCCTCCGAAATCGCATCATGGCGCCCCCTACCGCACCGCTCAACCTCGACGTCGAGGCCATATCTGGCATTTGCGGGTAAGCATGAATTTTCGCAGTCCCGTTACCAAATCCATCAATTGCATTCCTCAATGGCTCACACAATGCGCATAGCTCCATCTCAATCGCCTGCTGGGTCGTCGTCTTCTCCCCCCAGATCCTCGAGAACTTCCGCCGCGGCAGCGCAGACGGTCTGTCTCTGCAGTTTATCATCGTCTGGCTCGCCGGCGATGTCTTCAACATCCTGGGCGCCGTCCTCCAGGGCGTCCTCCCTACCATGGTGAGTCACCTACACCAGAAAGAGAACCCCTTGCCCAACGTCCCTGCCCCAGCCTACCTTCACCACTGCATGAGAACCCCGGCTGACGCTATGACTCCTTACCCCTTAGATCATCCTCGCCATCTACTACACCATTGCCGATATGGTCCTCCTGGCCCAGTGCTTCTACTACAGGGGCTTCACCTGGAAAGACGAGGTCGTGCCCCCGGCCCCGAAGCCGCGCAACCGCACCGGCGAACCGAACGAGCGCACCGGCCTCCTCCCCAACCCCATTGTCGACCGCGAGCGCCGCGGCTCAGACTGGTCCAACCTCTCCCCCGCCGTACCCATGCGCCCCGAAAGCGGTGTCGGCGGCAGCGCCGCCCCGGCCCCTCCCCCGCGACCGTCCACCGCGCTCCAGGCCGTCGCCTGGAACACCACCGCCGTCCTCATGGTCTGCGCCGCCGGCGTCGTCGGCTGGTTCCTGAGCCGCAAGTACTCCCCGCACGCCGAGGAACCGGGCAACCACCACCAGCCCAACGACGACGACGACACCACCCTGACCTTCAACACCCTCGGCCAGGTCTTTGGCTGGCTCTGCGCCGTCTTCTACCTCGGCTCCCGCCTGCCCCAGCTCCTCCTCAACTACCGCCGCAAGTCCACCGAGGGCGTGAGCATGCTCTTCTTCCTCTTCGCGTGCCTCGGCAACCTGACGTACGTGCTGAGCATCTTCGCCTACGACCCGCGTTGCAAGCATGACGAGTGCGCGCCGGGCGAGGCGAGCGCTATCTACGGCCGTTATATGCTCGTCAACCTGAGCTGGTTGGCGGGCAGTCTGGGGACGTTGTTGCTTGATATGGGCATCTTTGCGCAGTACTTCATGTACCGGACCGACGAGTTTGCGAGTGATGACGAAGAGGAGGGTGATGATGAGAGCATTGATGAGGACCAGTGGGATCAGAGGCCGCTGCTTGCTCGCGGTGACTCTGTTTACCCGTGAGAGGGGCATTTTCTCTTTGTTGCTGTTTTTGAAGAATCGCATTCGTGACTTTTTCTCTTTTTATCTAAGGCGTCTTTGATACACGGAAAAAAAGGGTTGGTGGTCATTGTTTTACTATAAAAGTATCTATCGCATTACAGGATCAAGAATCAAGAGACTTGGGATAAAAAGGTGGTTACTTGACCGCTACGGAAAATAAAAAAGGGGAAAGGGGTAAGGGGGCAGCTCAAGAAAGATATATGTTGGCTGTTGTATCATACCTTAGAGGCAGCAGCCTTGGGAATCGCATGCGAGATCGCAACAAGGCTAGATCTACAAGTCATTCCTTTCACCTTTCACCTTTCACGGTGGCCTCTTCATTTTGCAAGCTGAAGACACCATTTGCTACCAACAAACACAAACGTTGGATCCATCATCCTCTATCCAACTCCTTGATTCTTCCAACCTCGGCGACGACCATCTCACAACCACCCAAGCCTCTTACACACAAACGTAGCACCCCCCACGAAGGCCGTGACCCCCGTAAACACAATCAACGTCCCGTACCCGCTCCCGTACCCAAACCCAGCCTCCCCAGCCCACGGCTTCCCCTGCACCAACACCCCGCTCAACGGTCCCGAAATCACATTCCCGACCCCGCGCCCGGCCGCCAACATGCCAAACACCATGATCGGATCGACGCCCCTCCCGCGCTCCCTCTCGTGCTCCGTCACCGTCTTCATGATCCCCGGCCAGGCGGACGTGTACGCGCCCGCAAAGAGGCCGTACACGACGCAGAAGAGGTACAGCACCCCCAAGTTCAGCGAAAGGCCCCACAGCAAGAACGTCCCGACGGTGGCGCCGGCGCTGGCGAGGGCCAGGCACGACGGCGCGGACCAGCGGTCGACCAGGGTCCCCATCGCCACGCAGCCGACGACGGAGGCGACGTTGATGAGGAGGATGGTGAGGGCCGACGCGTATGGGGACGCGCCGAGTGTGGATTGGGCGTAGGAGGGGAGGTAAATCCCCGGCAGGAAGAAGCCCAGGGCCTCGATTGTGTTTGCGGCCTGGTGTAGGAGGAAGGGGCGGGAGAGGAGGAAGCGCATGTTGTTGAACGGGCGCGCGTGCGTTGCGTCCGCTGACGACGTCGTCGTCGTCGTCGTAGACACCGGTACGCGCGGCTTGATGAAGAAGGCCAGCGGCGCGGTGAGGGCGAAGAGTAGCCCGGACCAGAGGCGGAGGGTGGTGCGGAAACCGAGGGTGCCGAGGAGGTATTCCATTAGTAAGGGGAGCAAGACGCCGGCGAGGCCGGTGCCGGACCACATTATGCCGTAGGCGAAGCCCTTGCGGCGGACGAACCACTGGTCGATGTAGACTATGCAGGGCATGTACGTGATGCCGCCGCCGATGGCGTAGAGGATGCCCTGGGTTACGATGAGGTGGGTTACCGTGGTGGAGAAGGAGGAGGTTGCGAGGGCAATGCACATGATGAGGAGGCCTGCGATGGGGGCGTAGCGGGTTTGGCGGGGGTAGAGGCGGAGGAGGGCGGTTTGGATGGGTCCGCCTAGGTACATTATTCCCTTTGTCAAGATGTCAGTTTGGTCCGGGTTGTGGCTCCTTGCTCGAGATTTCGAGAGGAGAAAGGGAGGGTGTCAGCAAGAAGAGTGAGTGAAAGGGGGAAGGGGGTTACCATGGCGCAGGTACCGATGACGGCAATGTTAGGCTGCCCAGCGAACGGCGGGTTCGTGGAGTAGTAATTCTGAAAGACGCCAAAGGCAAAGGGAAACCCCCAGACGAGCATCTCGACGGCGAAGCAAGCAGCCAAGAAGAGCCAGGCCTGCTTTCCGCCGTCGACGGGCGGGAGGGAGGAGAACTCCTGGCTCGCGCTGTGGGCGTCGTGGAGGACACCATCGGCGGCGACGCCGTTCTCGTCGCCGCTGCTTCTTCTGCTGGTGCCGGACTCTGTTGCGGCGGTGGTGTATCGGTCGCGCGTCGTCGAGACTGCCGCTTTTGAGGATTCCGGGATCGGGACCGTGGCCCCGGTGTGCGGGGTGAGGTACTGGAGCTCCGTTTGCGAGATAGACATGGTCGCGACTTTTTACTATACCACGTATCTCATAAAACAAGGAATTGATGCTTCCGGGTAGTCTCGTTCTCAATTCACCAGCTACAGAAATGAGAAAAGAGACGTAGTTGGCTGTTGGGAGTAAAGCTTACTACCGGCACCTTTTAAACTTGAAGTCATTGATCGGCCGGGGGCGGGGCGGGGAGACTAAGGTCGTCTCGGCGGGGAATCCACTCTACGCCCTCCGATTGACTCGCTGACAAGGGATGACGGGCGGCTGGGCTAATTCTACAAATGTTGGTTCTAGAAGGCGTACGCCGATCCGCGACAGAGAATTAGGGTCTTTATTGTAGGCTTGAGCTATGAGCTGTATGCACAAATATTTGAATTACAATGGTTGAGTTGATCGTCACTGCTCGATCTGCCGTCTACTCGCAATCTCCCTATGCTTATTGACCCGACAGCTCTTGTTCTTCGAGACAAGGGGGTTGTCAATTTTTGCTAAATGATTACTGATCTCACTGATTTAGGAAGTATTCTCGAGGTGCTGCCGTTAGAATGATGATACACGAGCGCTGGCCCGGGAGATCTTTTAGCCTGCAATGTCAGCGGCACCTCAGGTTCCATCTGGCGATTTGCTTCCTTCCGAGACACTCCCGTCTCCTTCGGTTTTCGGGCACACCGGCGCCGTGAGACCCGCTGACCGGCACCGGCTCCGAACCCGCCGAACGCCGGCCGTCACTTCGACATGCCCCCGTTCTGCCCGCTTCAAGCTCCGATGGTCGGGGACTCTGCAGTCAGCCTTGCGTAGCATGCCCCTCAACAAAGTCTGCCCGATCCCCTGCTAATCTCGGCAAAGATATGCGTACTCTTCACCGCAGACCAAAGAGATTTATCGGCAAACCAGGCCGATGAATCCCAGCTATGGAAGGAAACTGCGTACGGGGACTCCACCGCCGCAACTCCTTTTTCGTACCTGATACGGGTTCAAGGTACGGTCACACAGCCCCTAGGCTCGCCGTGAGAGGTCAAGCAGGCAGTGAACATCCAAACAAGCTGCATCTTCAGTCCAACCCTCAGACGTACTGCACGCTACGCCTCGCAACCTTCCCATTGAACTCTCCATCGAAAGTGTCACCGTTTCGAATTGGGGACACAAGATCCCACCAAACCCTTTCTAGGCTTCCACCTAAATCCCGGTATATGATCCCCTTGCCCGCGTTTTTCTCTCGGCGGCGGCAAGAATGTTCCCAAAACATCCTTCGCTACGACGCCAGAAGCAGAATGTCTCCCCTGAATCGTTTTGTTCGTCTGAGCCTCTGAAGTGACGGGTAGAACACGAAACCGCTCGAGCCGAGGCTGATTGGGCGGAAGGGGAAGAGCCTGAGGGAGGGGGGATCATGGTTCCCGCGTATATATTTCTGAGGCCCGAAAATAGTCCATGAACCCTGTAACCCTGCAGTATCTAAAGTAATAGCAAACCAACCCGCACATACGGATACCACGTCAGATCGCGCTCGGGTTCGGCGCGCGGGCTATGGCAGTCGTCACTCCTTCCCGCAACTCCCCCCATCAACTGGCGAACGAGTCAGCGTTGTGCGATCCCGCGCGATCGGGTCCTCCGGGATCTTTTCATATCTAGGTATCTAGGCAAGGTGGCATGTCACCGAAGCCCGGTGTGCCAGCGCAGCAGCCTCTGGATATGAGGAAGGGAAAAAAATCAAAGGAAATAAGAAGGGAAATGCGAAAGACTAGTAAGCCTTGCACTAGTTGGTGAACGGACTTGGATCCATAGCAGAAAAATAACAGTACCCGCACATCGCATTGCGTAGACTCTCAACCAAAGGACGACGACGACGACGACTTGACACCGAAAAGATCATCCCAACTCGCAGGCAACGCAAACGCGAAATGCAAGGTCAGCAAAAGAGAGTTTCCCATTTTCTTGCCTGCCTAATACCACTTCACCGTGCGACGACGCCTCAACCACTTTTCTTCTCCATTACCAACAACGCAAGCCGCATTCGGTAGCCCTTTCCCCTCCCTCCAATCCCCTTTGAAGATTATCTCGTTCCCCAAACTGAGGTCATTCCACCCCCCGTTTGGCCCCATCCCAGGATCCCCTCCCCGGGACACCCCAACACCCTTTCAACCGCAGTTGCGCAGCACAGCCAAAAGGTCAGGCGCGAGCTCTGTCTCAGCGCTGTCTGCAGGAAAGGATACCCCGAGTTCACATCACGCTGCCAGCGAACACACACTCAAACCCACGAATGAAGGCGAGAAAGAGAGAACAAGTGAAGCAGAACAGACGTATCCCGTAGATCGGTCGGCAGCTGAACCCTTCCTTCACTTGAAATGAAAAGAAAAAAACACCCCCCCAAACACACCGAACGAAGGTGTCCCCATCCATGAGCCCCTCTCAAGATGGAGGGACCGCCTGATCTAAGCCTCATCCATCCTTGTAACTGTCCTCGACCTCCCTCGCACTCAATGTGCCGGTTCGAGATGACTCTTACACACCGGGTGTCGTATGTACAGAGGGGCCCCCCCTCCCTCGTCTACATACATCCACGCAGAAACTCAACCTGCGGGGACATAAGGTAGACAAGGCAAGGTATGTACTTGAAGAGTAGAGACTATTACTATGTGACCATGTAGAAAGAGACTAGAAGGAGAGGGAAGAGACACCAAGGCCTGCCAGCCCACGGTCGTCAATCTGGTCCCTTCTCCCCCTCCGCCCCTGCTGCCTTTGCCCTGCACCTGAGCGCCAAGCTGTGGCCTCAACCTCCAAAGTCTGCCTTTCTTCATCATGCAGGAAGAGAGAGCCCGAAGTGAAGGGGTGGCCCCCGGACAAAACCGTGGGCCACGCACCCTCTCAAACTTCGGGTTCCCAGATAACTTTCTTCCTCGTGCCCTGTCGCTTTTTTTTTCTGTTGGTTCTGTTTTCAAATAAAACGGCCAATCGCCTGTTTTGCGCGTTGGCTGTGACTTGGGGTTCCAGGTGCGATTTGTTTCTGTCTCTTGCACACACCTACAAGGCAACGTCAACTCGACTTAGACACACACATAACAAGACCTTCGTTTCCTGTCACCCACGGACGAGTCAAACGAGATTTTTTCTTTGGATAGACCTCGCGCCAGGATTTTGCAAATCCCATCGGTCGAATACGTACACACGACATTTCCGCCTTTGTAATCCTTAATCGCACACGCGCGCGCGCAGAAGCAATGTCGTCCCAGATCGAGTACAATCAGATGCCAAGAGAGCCTGCGCCAGCCGTGCTCTCGGAACAAAAGATTAGCTCTCAGCAACCTGTATGTTCGCTCCCTTCAGCCATCTCTATACTTACCATGTCGGTCTTGGTTTTCCCCTCTTCTCTGGTGATTGTCGGTGTCGCATCGATTCGAATCAGCCAGACCTCGCAAAAGGAACAAGACCTCTCCCGAAACCCGAGCTAACCGGAGACCTTGAATCCTACTAGAGCCCTAATCAGCCGATGACGATGGATCAATCAGCGAACCTGCGAGGTGGCGGCGATGGCGGAGTAAGTTGAAAAAAAGCCGACCCAATCCCTCTCCTTCTTCGATATTCCTACGCCGTCTGTGATTTTGGTAGAACTCGAGAAATCAGAAATAGAGCGCTGGAAAACGCGATTGGGATTCTTTTCCTTTTCAACCACACGCTCAAAAGCACACAATTGGCTAACGTGTTACGCTCTTCTCGGTAGGCTGTCTGCTGCGGTCTCTGCGCCGGCCTCTGTTGCTACGAATGCTGCGAGTGCTGCTGCTGCTGCTGTTAAGTCGTATCGCAACGTCACACGCCGAAGGCACTTTTGGGTGTCGTTTCCCTCGAGACACACCCGGAAGATGGTCAACGCAGTGGACGTTACTTTCTGTATAGACCGAATATCGTTTCGAGATGGAGGGTGTATCGTAGACCGACCAAGATCAAGACTACTCTCATTGGGGATCCGTGAGAGAAGGAGACTGAGGAATTCGCGAGCGAGAGTTCGATATCAAATGGGTGGCTCGTAGCGGATGAGTGATTGAATAGGCGGTGGTTTCAGGCGCAAACATATACCAGGGCATCGAATTTCATGCCCGTGACAGTGTCACTTTTTTGTACGATTTTCAACTGATTTTTGAACAAATTATGATTTTTTTTCCCTCCTTGTTTTAGATGCTCTGAGCTATCTGTCTCGTCAGTATTGTCCTGATATGGTATCTCGACAGTCTCTTATTCTTCTCCCCTCGAACTGATTCTGGGCGCCTCGTGCAACGTCGACGCCCGCGGCTCCGGCACTACATCGAGACCTCGGAGCGCCGTTCTTCAGCGCGAATCTGGGTGTTTCTCATCCACCATTCCATCTATGTTTTTACAACTTGGAGCGAACATCCTTGGTAGGCCTAGGAGAAAAGAAAAAGTCAGTATACTCATTCACAGGTCATCATCAAGGCTTTTCAGTCCCCGGGAACGAAAGAAGAAATCAACATACTCGGCAATCTTCTCCGTCTCCTTCATGATAGCGGCGCCGAGCTCGGGGGTAACCCGCGAGAACATCTCGTACGCGCGCGAGCGGACCTCGGGGTGAGCGCCGGCGAGGGCGCCAGACACGTTGCTGACAAAGTTCTTCTGCTGGCCCTCCTGGCGGCCGAGGACCTTCCAGAGGCCGAGGGCCTGCTCGTAGTCCTCGGGCTTGACGGGGCCGAAGAGGTCCGTGACGACGGCGCCGGCCCACTGCTCGTGCGGGGTGTTGACGGCCTTGACGGGCTTGTACTCGAGAGGGCGGAAGGTCGAGGAGTAGTTCTGGGAAGAGTTAGTTCGGTCATTCTCACCATGCATATAGTACGTAGATCGGGGCTCGAGGGGTGACGTACGGGGTTCGCGCCGTAGTTGCCGTTGACAGCCATGGCGCCGTCTCTCTGGAGGGGGTTGAAGGCATTCAGGGGCTTGTTGACGGGGATCTGCTGGTAGTTCACGCCGAGACGGTGGCGGTGGGTATCCGGGTAGGAGAAGAGGCGGGACTGCAGGACGGGGTCGGCGGTGGGCTCGACGCCGGGGACCAGGTGGGAGGGGGAGAAGGCGGCCTGCTCGATCTCGGCAAAGTAGTTCTCGGGGTTCTGGTTGAGGGTGAGCTTGCCAAACTGGCGCAGCGGCACCTCGCTCTGCGGCCAGACCTTGGTCAGGTCAAAGACGTTCCACTTGAACTTTTCGGCCTGCTCCGGGGTCAGGGTCTGCACGTAGACGGTCCAGCTGGGGTGCTCGCCGCGCTGGATGGCCTCGAAGAGATCCTGGGTGTGCCAGTCCGGGTTCTCGGACGCCATCTTGCCGGCCTCCTCGTTGGTGAAGGTCTTGTTGCCCTGGTCCGTCTTGAGGTGGATCTGGACGTAGACGAAGGAGCCGTCGGGCTTGGTCCACTTGTGGGTGTGGCCCGAGTAGCCGTTCATGTGTCTGTAAGAGTAAGGGGTGCCGCGGTCGGAGAACAGGTGCATCAGCTGGTGGATGCACTCTTGGTTCTTGGTCCAGTAGTCAAACTGGGAGATTGAGTTAGTGTGCGATTTGTGATGAGTTGCTGCATCTTAACGCTTACCATCTGGTTCAAGTTAGCTCAAGTCATCTCATGAGAATTCTGGGGGTTTCAACACTTACCATTGTAGCATCCTTCAGGTTAGTCTGCGGGTGACGCTTCTGGGTGTGAATGAAGGGAGGGAACTTGACAGGGTCGCGGATGAAAAAAATGGGCGTGTTGTTGTAAACCCAGTCCCAGTTTCCCTCCTCGGTGTAGAACTTGACAGAGAAACCTCTGGGATCACGAGCCGAATCGGCAGAGCCCTTCTCACCACCGACAGTCGAGAAACGGACAAGCGCCTTGGTCTTCTTGCCGACCTGGTTGAGCATGTCGATGGAAGAGATATCGCTAATGTCATGGGTGACCTCGAACTGTAAAGCCGTGCGCGCGAACGCTGGTCAGCATATTTCTCTCAAAATTCACCAAGCTTCACGCCCGTTCCGACATAACACAACCAAAAAGAACCGTCTCACGAACCTCGCCGTAAGCACCGGCGCCCTTGGCGTGGACGACACGCTCGGGAATGCGCTCGCGATCGAAGTGGGCCAGCAGGTCAATCAGGTGGAAGTCCTGGAGCAGCAGAGGGCCCTGGGGACCGATGCGCTGCCACGCCTGGGGGTTCTCGACGGGGGCGCCATTGGAGGTGGTGTAAGTCGGCTTCTCGTTATACCGGTAGGTAGAAGGCTTCTCGTCCTTGGAACCCATCTTGTCAGCGGTTTCTCGCTTCTTGTCGATTCGGAGATGGGAGATATGTTTTGCGCTTCGGGGGAAATGGCGCGGGATGCTTGCTAATGTCGGACACCAACAGACGGCAGCGGCAGATGGTAAATCAGATCAAGAAAAGAACAGATCAAAGAGGGTCTCCGGGGGGGCGATCCAATGGAGGGAAGACGAAAACATAAATAATCTAAAGCTCCATGACAGAGAGAAAAGAAATAGGACGATAACATAAGTGGGAGGGGACCCTCCTTACACCTCGGCCCCTCCCTCTCCTTCTCTCTCTCTTTCTCTCCCTCTTCCTCCTGCTTGCCCCAGTTTCCTCGGCTTCTGGAGCCCCATGAGCTCTGTCCTCCCACTCAGGGCGTTCAAGTTACGAAGCAGAAACCCCAGGACACGACGTAAGTCGCCCGGGCAAGGGTGGCTTTCCTCGATGATTTCTGAAGCTTTGGTGGGACACACGGCCAATTGGAAGGCAGACGAATGCAAGCTTGGGTTGGCCGAGGTCCACAGAGAAGCTCCATTTTGAGGTTTCCTAGCGTCCTTCAGTCACCCCTTGTTTTCTCCACCTCTCGTTGCTGAGGTGGTGCAAAGGTCCAAAACGATCAATCTTGCTGCTGCTTTTTGAGTGGTAGATCTGCTGTTTCTAGTGTTGCTCTAGAGGCAACTCCAATTCTGGACCCTTAGTTTGAGGCTCTTTTGTAACAACTACTTGGGTAGCGCAACGTTGTTGGACACCTTCAACCTTCAATAGCGTTATCGTGGACTCGACATTCCGACACTGACCACCGCCAACTTTCTCAGGTTCAACTCGTGTTTTCCGCCGCTCGGATTGGTCCATTGTCTCTCCTGGCCCCTCCGACAACGGCGGGGGTTCCACCACCACTGCCCAGCTGGTCTCTTTTGCCGGGATACATCAGTCATGACCCAGTCTCTTGCTCTACCTCCCCAGATGTTGCGGGGGACTCTTTAGATTCCGTCAATGTCGGCATCGAGGGGGGACATCTCAGATTCCAGCCTTTCTGCGATGCGGAGAAAACTCGCTGACAAGCAAAAAGGATGGGGCCTGGCATGGGATATGCTGGGTGAAGACGGCGTCCATCAGGCCACTTACATGCACTTCAACGGCTAGGCTAGCCTTTGATCGCTTTGAGAAAACACCGAGGGTTGCGCCCCTCGGAAGCTCGTTCATGCTATTTCCTACTTATTCAGACAGGTCTGCCATGCTCTTCACTCCCAAGTACCCGTAGCTGGACTTCATCTCTGAGCAAGCCTGCCGGAATCCGAAGGGTGTCCGGTACCCGTCGGGATTTGGATGAACGTCTAGCACCAAACTCTGAGAACTCTCAGAGCCCGGCCTCGGGGTTCGAAAGTTGAGCATCAGCCACTACACCACAACACGGCTCAGTGACGCCGCTTCACCGGTCCCAGACCCGCTCTCTACTCACCTCGTGTGTGTTGCCCAAATCGGGAGAATGGAGAATTTCCCAATTCAGGAAACACGGCTGAACTGAAATGACATCATTGGTCGGGGCCAGAAAGGCAGTCCATGCCGGCGGAAGCCCATTCGCGGTGGCATTCCCCTGGTCTCCTCCAAGTGGAGCGAACACAAGAGTTGGGTTTGTCGCCGAGATCGCAGGATCGAGGTCTGTTGTAGGTATGTACATATGCCACGGGAAAGTCGCGTTACCAGATCTACAGAGGCTGTGGTACAGTGGTTTGCGCCTCACCAACGGCATCCATGGCCGAGGCCCGGGTCAATCTGGTGTCTCGCGCTGTCACATGGCTTCAGCGCGCGTTCCTGGCGGCAGTGGCAGGCTGGCACGTTGGCTCGGGTAGTGAACCGTTCGCCGTCGGTAGCGTTTCCGGGGGCCGCCGCCGTGGGTTCTGCATTTCTCAAGCGCCGAGAACGCCGAGATGCCAGACCTCGCATCTCGGCGATAGCCCGGAGGCGTCCGGCTTTCCGCATTTGAGCACTGGGAAAGCATGTTTACCATCTGTGTAACAGGCTTGCACTAATCCAGTCACTTGAATAGTTTTGGCCACAAGTTGATGAATGGGAAACGTCGCATTGCGTGAATGGTAGCGAACAGGAGTATGGCGCTATCGGAATGAGCCGATAATAAGGACTCGGGAGGAGGCATGTTCCGGGATGTGCTCCACTCCCGCGAGCAAAGGCTTCGAGGTTTTCTTCAATTCACCTCAGAGTAACACGGAGACAAGCAAAACGCAGTTCCTCTCGAGCAAGACTCGAGAGAGAATGTTGTCACTGCGGAACGTGTTCCGAAGCCGTTCCGAGCGCACTCGATGCGGTGTCAGGGTGCAAAAGGACCGCAAAAATGAGCGACAAACATCATGTCATTGGCTAGTGCTTAATTTAGCTCACAAGTGACATATTCGTATGTCAAACCCCAGTATCACGTCGTTCAATGTCACCAGAAGCTACGGCTAGTTACCTAATGGGTACTGTTAAGGATCTACGTCGAAGCCTCTTTACGCGTTCTTGCCCGACAATGCTGTTCCCTATATCGATCTCGCCATGAACGATAACCGTCAGAAAACGGCTCTGTACGAAAAGGCCAACGAATAGTCACCGCCTCATTGGGGGACTCTGCTCAGAAAAGCCAACCCTATGGGCAAGTATAGTAGTAATTAATGAGAACGCGAAAAGCCAACCGACCTCCATCATCCTGGAAAAGGCCTCACTCAATCTTGGCTACATTACACATATGGTCATTAACAAATCGCATCTGACCATCTTTTAATAAACACTCGTTTAAACACGGTCGAGCGATTGAGAGCCTGAACAAACATCTTAACGTTCCTTCAGAACAGGAGGAGGCCCCGATGTTGTAGCAATTTCGACACAACCTCACCGTCGAGACCGGAGTTTTCTCTTCGTCATGTGGAAGGAATGCACCCGGAATCAAAGCCATCAAAGCTGTGTCCCAAGCTGTGATGCCTCGTCAACAGTCTACACGCAGGACCTTGGGCGACATGGCCAGCTTGAACCGGGGAACTGAGCCGGGAGCACGGCAAGCGAGGCAAACTCTCCAACTGTGTCACACCCGCACCCAAAGATCTAAATATGTCTGCCATGAGGCAAGAGATATGAGGTAAGGGAGGCATGCGCAGCTCAGGAAAGCAAACACGAGTTGTCTCTCGTGATGAAGAACCACCGTCATGAAGGGTTGAGTGACAAGGCGTAAGTTGTGAATCATCACCTGCCAGCCAACTCGGGTGATGTGATTCACTACTTGGTATACAGCGTGCCGCCTTCGAGACCGTATAAAGAGGAAGCCTCGCCAATCTTGCCGTCGGTGAGAAGCTCATAAGAACGCATCTCGATCACCCAAACTTTCACACCATCCGAAGATCCTCCTGATACTCCCAAGAACGCGCCAGACAACTTCACCAAAATGCTCCTCCCAAGCTCTACATCCCTCCTCTTCCTCTTCCTCGCCTTCACCGCAGCAGCAGCAACCTCCCAGTCAACACCCACCCCTTCTCCATCCCAACCACCCATCGACGACGGCACAGTCTGCCCCGGGTCCACGATCCCCTGCTGGGAAGGCTGCATGCCGCCCGACGGCGTCTGCTGCCACGGCTCCTCCAAGACCTGGTGGTGCCAAAAGGGCGATACGTGCGGCAAAAGCGAAGCCGCCGGCTGCTTCCACCCACCGAAACGAGCCTCTTCCTCTTCCTCTTCCTCCTCCTCTGCCCCTACAACAAGCGACGACTCCCTCGCTACGGCCACAGAGAGCGTGACGAGACCGAGTCTGACGGCAGCGGCGACGACGACGACGACCGGCACCCAGCTTCCGACGTGCGTCTTCCAGATCCCGCCCATCGTACAGAGGCAGCAACGGGAAAAGGTAACAACGACAGTGTCGGCATGTCCCACCGAGCTGACCTCGGCCACTTCCGTCCCGGGTGCCGCTAGGGGATCCGGGCCGGCGGCGATGGGTCAGTCGTGGGCGGTTCTCACGTCGATCGGTGTCGCGGTCGGTTTTGTGATGATGCTGGTCTGAATGGGCAGAGTTTCTAGATCCAGGTTAGCTTCCAATCAAACTGGCCGTTGTGTACTTTTCGTGCTTTATGAGAGCTGTGACTTCCCATCGTCCTGGAAAAGTTCGAAAACTATGTCAGAATGATTAAAGGCTCACTCAAGAGCCCGTTTCTATCCAAATCCCGCCACCTTCCTTATGCGAGAACTCTGAGAAAGGGGTTAGCCATCACACGGGCGACCAAAGGAGGTGTCAGAACAGAAACCAGGGACGCGGTACGACGTCCCCGTGCTGGCATTAGAAGCGTGTAAACTGATAAAATGGACGAATCAACTCGAGTTTCCTTTCTCTTTCATCTCTTCCTCTGTCTTCTGTGTGTGTGTCTCTCTCCCCCGCCCCTCCCATTTGGGCCCTCTGGTCGCCTCATAAAACGTTGTATGCGCAACACGCGCGTTCACTCATCCGCATTTCGAAAAGACCCCGTTGTCCAGATATTCGTAGATGCGCGCGGCAGCAAAAACCGCAGACTAACTGTTTCCAGTATTCAGTCTACAGTCCGGCACTACCCAATGCTGAAACGCCGGTCCCGCAGTACGCCGAGGGTTGACGGGGGATCTTGCGAATGCCCTCTCTCTCACCAAAACAAAAAAGACGTCGACAAACACACATCGATGCGCAGCTCTACCCAACTGATGGGCCGTATTATAAATCGTGAGGGGCGTTATATATAAGTGGTTGTTTTTGAGAGGTTGATCGTGTAAGGGTCAGCGAAGCCATAGGCTCCGTATTTATGACTCCTGGTTGACGGTTTGCTAGTAGAAGAGGTCAGCATTCGTGTCCCAACTCAAAGTTTCTCCCCAAATGGATCTCAAGGAGTAGATCTGGTAGGGTATGCACGTACGACAAGCCAGTCCATGCCCTCCGTGACACCGCTGCCGTCGACCGCGGAGCAGGCCATGATGCTCCAGTTCCGATCGCGCAGCTCGCCCAGGCGCAGCGCCTCCGAAATCTCGCCCGCGCCCTTGGCGCCGGGCTGGTCCTGCTTGTTGGCAAAGACGAGGAGCGAAGCGTCCTTGAGCTCCTCCTCGTTGAGCATGGCGCCCAGCTCCTCGGCCGCAGTCTGCAGACGCTCGATATCGGTCGAGTCGACGACGAAGATGACGGCCGCCGTGTTGGCGTAGTAACACCGCCAGTAGGGGCGAATGCTGGTTTGACCACCTAGATCCTATAGTCGTGGTCGCGCATGGCTGCTGTCAGTCTCTTTCTCTCTCTTCTTCTGTCTCTCTCGCTTGCGTGTGGTGTTGCAGAGAAGGGTGCATCGGAGAATGGCGGCATACCCAAACGTTGAAATTGAGGTTTTTGTATGTGACGGACTCGACGTTGAATCCTATCGTCGGGATCGTGGTGACAACCTCACCGATCTGGAAAGTTCAGAAGAAGGTTAGTCCAAGGTACTTTACGAGATGCACACCTTAAGTGACGGCGGAGAGGGAAGTCTGCCGCAGAACTCACCTTCAGTCTGTACAAAAGTGTCGTCTTGCCAGCGTTATCCTGTAGAACACGGTGGTTTGTCAGCCTTGCGTCTCCACGTTTCGGACGCATCACGGGGGGGAAGCTGAGCGGGAGGATATGCGTACCAGTCCCAAGATCAGGATGCGAATCTCCTTCTTCGACCACACGAGGCCCGACAGCCATGACATGCTTGCGCCCATTTTGAAAGATGGTTTGTTGATTCTCGACAGGAACTCGGTGTGGGATGAGGTGTGGTCGTGGTGTAAACTCGGAGCTTTCGTAGGGATGCAAAAGGCCGTGTGCGGGTTCGGGGGTTGAGTTGCGACTTGGGTTCTGTCACAATATACGCGGTTGGCCTCGGGACAGGATGGTCGCGGAGGTTTAAGGTAGGTAAGGTAAGGTTGGTGGTGGTAGCAAAAGGTGGCTTGTTTCCCAAGGGGCGAGCAGCAGCAGCAGCAGCAGCAAAAGTAGAATGACGAAAGCTGACCAAAGAAAAAGCTCCGCCCGCTTTGCTGGAATTATGTACAAACGCAGGGCCTTTACCCGTTGGTGAAGAATAGGAGAGCACGAAAGGGGTGTGAGGGAAAAGGGCGACAAATGTTCCGTGGCGTTCAGGGGCAAAAAATAAGAAGTATCTAGTCTCTCCCCTTCTTCACTGTTTCCAGGAGTTTGGCTTGATTCGTCGTGGGTTTCGTTTCGTCGAGCTGTCTTTCTTGTCTTTACGAGTAGCAGACAAAGGGCCGTTGCAAAAGAATCTCGGATGGCTTGACTTTCCCCCCCTAAGGCGTACCAGTAAAGGTAAGGTAGCGGAACGGGTCCCCCCTAATTGACAGTTTTTTAAGACATGCATGGATGGGAAACCTGGGCGTCCAAACGGGTCCGCGGGTTGCCAATGCTGGGATCGTCGGCCGCTCGAGCCTATCGGTATGTCAGGGATTATCACATAAGCAGACTCTGAACTCTGATGCCTGAGGCACTAGAGTCCATTGTCTTATCTAATCAGCACCTGACCGAAAAAAGAAGAAAAATACCAAGCAGGAGCGAGCCACACAGCTGAGCCTCAAGAGGCGAGTGACCTTCTCATGCCTCCCCTCTCCCCCCACCAGGCTCCGAAAGCGTGACCGACTCCACCTTGTGCCCTGTCCACCAATCAAGGCGACTGCGGGCTCGCTAACCTAGTGCGCCTTGTGCACAAGAATTTCTCATTTCTAGTGGTGAGATCGATTCAACCCATCCCATCTGGAGAACAACTGCCACCCCAAAGGACTCGCACCAGTTTGATCAGCCAACAAGCCGTCAAAATGCCGGTACGTTGATAGCTTACGCCCTTTCGCTCGTCCTCTCGTTCAAACGGCCCTCTTCGACGCGATGATGATGTTTCCCCTCGACCGAATCTACCGACATATTGCGTCCACGCGATACGACAAAATGCGTCACCTGTGGACGGGGTTCAC